TGCTATACTACTCTATTTCATATCATCATTTTCTAAGTTATTCCCTTCACACTTTCAGACTCAGTGCAATTTATGGTGGGACGTATATGCTTGACAAGGCGGTTGATGAACTTGTCATGGAAGACGGTAAAGTGGTTGGTGTGAGATCTGGAAAAGACATCGTCAAGGCGAAACAAGTTTATTGCGATCCATCTTATGTTCCTGATCTTGTTGAAAAGGTTAGATACGTTTTTAGGTATATTTATTTGACCATTTTTTGTGAGAATATTTTATTATTTTGATAAATTCTTGTAAGGTAATGTACCTAGAATTTTATAATTGGTAAGGAGAAACAAAAGTGGATTTTCAAATGATGCGATTCATTGGCTGATGAATTAAATTGAATTCATATTTATGATATTTTTACCTTTTATGACGAGGTTATTATGAATACAGTAGCTTCGCAGATGATAATTCCTATCGCCCCGTCGACAATTTCCTGAAGTAATGTAGTGAGGTAATGTCTTTAGTGTTTCAAAAACTTACTAATGCTGGAAAACTAGATTTGAATTCTGAGAACTTCACCTGCATCAATGTTTTACGTTTGATTTTTGGAGAGCATCGAATATATGCAAAAATTCAGATTTTCATTCTCTTTTGCATGCATTTTCTGCAAATGAAATCCCAGAAACCAAGAAACTCTCGTATCGAATTGGATTTGTTATTCAATTGTATTAAAATTTGAATTTGCAAATTTCATGTGCCTTTGGTTGAAGCCCAGCATGGTACAGTAGAATATCATTACAACGAAGTATTTCTCAGCAACCTGTCCAATAGTCCCAATGTTGACTAAATCACTTTACATCGAATTTTTCATTCCAACGAAGCTATTTCACTGGTCCCAATGGCTTCGTTATTTTCGAGATTTTACTGTACATTGGTAGCGTAGATGGCAATTGTTCGCTATTTCTATTTTTTTCCAATCGTAAGTTGACTGATTCAAGGTGACTATTTTTGATGATCTTTCAGTTCCTGGATTCATAGCGGAGTTGCGAAAAGTATTCTTGACAGTATTAATACAGTTGGACTCTTTACCAAAATTTGGGGGTTCAACAAAATTCGTTGTACCGCAGTATTCAGAGATCATTTGTAGATGATTCTCTGAGGTCAGGTTTAGATGGAATTTCATCTTTGACACTATCGGGCTTCATCGAATGAAATCAACCCAACGAGGAAATTCCAGGGTCGAAAATATGATTCGAGTGTTGGAATTTGTGTCATTAAAACATAATATTGAAACATTAATATCATTACAGATTGGTCAGGTGGTGAGATGTGTCTGCTTGTTGGATCACCCAATTCCGAACACGATGGATGCGACGTCTTGTCAAATAATCATCCCACAGAAACAAGTTGGGCGCAAATCCGACATCTACGTGTCGCTAGTTTCGTACAGCTCGAGTGTTGCTCCAAAAGGATGGTTTATTGCTATGGTCTCCACTACGGTGGAAACTGCGAATCCCGAAGCTGAGATAAAGTGTGGTTTGGATCTTCTGGGTCCAATCAAACAAAAGTAAAGCTTGGGAACTCTTTTTGTTGTGATGCAGTGATTCAATTTTCTGTCATTTTTCTAGGTTCGTCATGGTGAGTGACGTTTACAAACCGAAGGACGACGGAAGAGAAAGTCAGATATTTGTTTCTCGTTCCTACGACGCGACGACTCATTTTGAGACGACTTGCAGCGACGTTTTAGACATTTTCCAGCGAGGAACTGGAGAAGCTTTTGACTTCTCTAAAGTCCGTCATGACCAAGGGGAAGATGCCGAATGAAGCTTTAAGAAAAGAAATGTTTGCTTGGAAATGGATTGTGAATTCGCTTTTAGCATGCTGAAGGTTGCCTGGCGACGATTTCCCCCGGAAATATTTGTTGATCGCACTCTTTCTCTTGTGATTTGTTGGCATTTTCTTTTTTTTTCCGCAAAAAAAAGGGAATCAAAATTTATTTTCCTGTCGTGATCTGTTCCTGATGTCATTGTGCTCTCCGAAGATCTGTTGAACCAGGAAAATCGTATTCGAGCGCAATTTTCATTCGGTTGCATTTTGCAGCTGTTGTAAAATTGTAAAAGAAGCTAGAAATTATATATTCCTTTCGTTTTTCTCTTAATTGTGACGCACTCTTGAGGGATAATGGGTTTTGAACACTGTGATTTTGTTGGATGACCAGTTTTTAATTTCTGAGAACATCTTGCAAGCATTTAATTTTTGGTTGTGATGCGTTCAGATGGATCGAGTCTATGGAACACCAGGCTGAGGATCAATTGTGCTTGCTTCCGTATTGGCTTATTTTGTTGTATTCCTTCCGTTCTCGTCTTTTTGTAAAGTGCGAGCGATTGTGATGCTTGTAGATGTGTACTGTGCTTAAAAACTTTGCCCCGAATCCATTGACTCTTTCACTATTGTAACTTGTGGACTTGTTCATTTGTAAAATGGTTTGGTTTTTTGTATTGTTATTATTCAGAAAAGCCACCATGTTGTGGTTTTTGTTCCTTTTCTCAATTGCAAGTGCTCAAGTGAGAGATGACAAAGGGTGTCCTGACAATTGGATTGAGCACAAAAACTCATGCTTCCGCTTTGTGTCGAGTCCGAATTTGAATGAAACATACGCCAAGGAATACTGTGCTGTGAGTACAGTAATACTTTTTTGTGGCCAAATTTTGAAGGCGCTTGAAAGAGGATTCTTTAGTTCCTTAGTTGCTCTGATGGAGCCCTGCTGAGGCTCGACACTTATCGGGAATTCCGCACATTTCTGCAAGAAGAAATCAAGAGATGGAATCAAAAGTACGCTTCGAAGCAAACTTGGAGAATCCCTGGGTTTTTGGAGAAATCCTCGTATGGCAACGAGTTTTGCGAGCAGCACTACCAGATCCCTGTGGTCGAGTAAGTTCAGTGAATAATAAACGATTTTGGCTTAATTTAGGATTATTACCGGGGAGCGCATCAGGAGAGAAAATTGACAATCGACTTATCCTGAGATTTTCGGTTGCATGATTATTGTGAAATTTTATCACTCATGCATGTTTTATTTGAATTTTAGCTATTTTAATGCTGTTGATGCCTATTATTTTGTGTATTGACTCTTTTGAAGCGTTGATAATTGATTTCAAATCCATTGGCTTATTACTGTAATTACTCAAGTACAGTACTTCATACAATTGAGTAAAACGTGCGTTAGGTTCTTTTGGTTGAAAATTTTGATGAAATCGTATACATGAGTAAAATGTGCACCATTGAGATCCCTTACCATTTTTAGTGCCTCTAAAGCCACAGTATTTCCAAAATGAGAACTTTCAAATTTGAATTTATTCGTGAACTAAACGGTAATTCAATTAATTTTCAATTGTTTCCATTAAAATGAGTTTTCTGTTTGACTTTGTCCTAAATTTCCCAGTAGAAATAAGTACTGTACTGTATTTAGGGAAGTACCTTGTTTGCTTGAGTAGAAGACACACAAGGGTTTTTCAGTCGAACACTTCGATACAATTTTATCCCCAATGAAGGCTAGCACCCCATTTTGAGTGCCTCTAAATCCAACAGGAACACCCAAAGTTGAAGTTAGACATGTATTAAACCTGAATTCAACTAATTTTCAATTGTTTCCATTGCACCAAGTTTTTCTGTTGAAATTGGTCTAAATTATCCATTAAAAGCAAATACAATGAACCCCTGTCTAAAAGCTTGAAAAAAATTATACCTACCCATGATGTGCAACCCACTTCTCTCAAATTTGACAAAAAAAAAGGTGTGCGTCTTGTGTGACTGTAGTATTTCCTGGCCCTGCCGTTAAAATTTTGCGTTTTTATGTATGACATGGTTTCCATTACGTATTTATGCTTTCACTGTTGGCTTTTTTTTTGCATACTTAATGCATTCAGAGGCGGCCCTAGGGTTTGCGGGGCCTGGGGCAGACATGTAAAATGCGGGGCCCCTTAAAAACGCCCCCTCCCCAAAATTCTCAAACAGCATTTGAACAATGAAAAATAAAATTTAAATTGAAGTAAAGCTGTAAATACAATTACATTTCTTGAAAGCTAAAAAAGGTCTTTTGCAAGTTTCTAAAATAAACTTTTAGATTTTTTTTATCAATTACTTGTACTATACTAGCATCTCTTTTTTAAATGTACAATTGTTTGTTTTGGCTGTAAATTCAAATATTCAAAATTTAAAATAACCAACCAAAATGGCCATTTCAAATAAAATTACTATAATAGCAATGATAATTACTGCAGAAAAGAAGTGCAGCTTATCAAAACTCAATGGCTATAATTTTTCTGAGACCAAAATAAGCTGCTTAGCATTAATTCATCTTAAAATTCTGCAGATTAAATACAATTTTTTGCATGTGTAATTCTGGCAAATTTATCTATGGTATATCAGTTATACTGCCAATTATCTTCAGGTTTAATTTGAAAGGGCTTTAAAAAATTGTCATGTCAGTTTACAAGTTTTAGGATTAAGGCCCAATGTGCGCACAGGTTGATCAAGAAAATCATTTTCTGACCTTCTTATAGTTGTTGCTTATTCACACATTACCAACATGTAGAAATGTAGCTATATGTTTTTAGAAACATCACAGATATTATTTTCCTCATTTTTTGGAACAGCTGCTATAAAATTTGGCCCCATGTTTATAGCAGAAAGGTATTCCTATACTGCAGGATAATTTTACTAGCAAAGGACTAGCTTTAGAGCCAAAAACTTTCCATGCAGTAGGATTCAAAAGGAATTGTTCTTGTGGAGTTTCCCAGGGATACACTGGAAATACAAGTGCAAAAGATGATTAATATCAATAAAGTTCATGCTCTAGCAAGGTCTAGCAACAATATTGTTCTATCAGTAATAGAGAAAGCAGCATATTTACTCTGGAGTCATGATGAAGGAATGTAAATTTCATTGTAATCTTGATCATCATATTTTTAGAAATATTGATTGCACATTAGACCCTCATTGCATAAAATCCATGGAAAAGTTTAACATTAATTGTTGCCATCATTCAATGGTGATTCAAAATTCAAGATGCATTGTTTATATTTAAAATTCCTATTGATAAGAACTCAACAAGACCTTATAAAATGTAAAAAGGCATTTATCTTCAACATTAATTTCACTGAAGATTTAAAAATGTATATGCAGTAGTAGGAAAGCTCCTACGCATGCCAATATTCTTCTGAATGCATTGTTGGCTCTGTTGTGCCCTACTTACAGATAAGATTACTTATTGTCAGCAAACTTTGTAAAGGGGTAAGAATAAACTAGCCCGTTTGGAAGGGGGCCCCACTCCTTCCAGTTGCAAGGCAAGAGGAAAAAATGTTGAGGGGGGCAGCCAATTTTCAGAGCCACAGTACGGGGGGCCCTCCTCAAGTGCGGGGCCCCCTCAAGCGCGGGGCCTGGGGCGGCCGCCCCTCTCGCCCCACCCTAAGGCCGCCACTGATCACAAGAATCATCAAAAAACTCCGGGGATCGTAGAATTACAACTTCGTATACCTTCTCCTATTTGCCGGATTCTATGGTGGGTTTGTTCAGAACAGCGGCCGTCAAAAACAACCGCAAATTAATGAGAGCAGGGTTCCGTAATAATCTCTAGCATATTACGAGTTTAGGACTCATCGCAGTAAATTTCTGTGGTAACCGAGAGTGACATCTATACTCTCGCTATAAGACATTAGTCATGAACCTCAATAACGCGAATCTCCCGAAGTCAAATGCCTCTCTATGCCCCCGTTTTTGCCCTCTCTACATTGGAAGTCTAATTGGGCGAATGAGCCTTCACATTCGATTTCAGCATCCTGCCAAGTCATTAGGAAGCAATTTAAAGCCCAGACTATCACCAAATAAAATATACTGCAATTATTATTTCTTTCGCCCACCAAAATCCATTTTTCCGTAATAACTCGATTGTTTTTCTGGTCTCGTGAAGTTCGACTTGAAAAAGAGGTTCGGCAGTAGAATAGAAGTAAGAATCATTGCACATCAAATAATTTCTTGAAGCAATGAATATGAACATAATTTCTTGACATTCTACTCGGCAAAAAAAATTGGAACTGTTCGTTGAAAATAATTTTCAAATCCGAACGACAAACTTGTTCAAAATGATTAAAAGTTCATGATTCAGGATCGAGTTCAATTTGAACTTAACTTCAGCAGCAGTCTGAAAACATTAACTTTGGCAGCAATCAGGAAAGATTAACTTCTCACGCAGGCTGTATAATGTCCTAAACTTTTCGGTTATCAATTTCCTGGACTCCATCTTTTCTTTAATTGTTTCCAAAACAAGATCCTTCTAATCGAGGGAACCATCATACAGGATGCTTTACCCAAAGCTTTCAGCCGGATTATAGGTGACCTTTTTGGCTGGAATTAAGTGTTCGAAGATCCAAGCATAATAAGTTAGGAAGCCATTAACTGCGTTAAAATTTTTGGCAGAGGGCATTTGAATTATTGCTTTTTGGTGCTCTACCAAATATCTCTCACGACCGAACGCTTTTCGGTAAGTAATAATTATACGTGACTGAATCTTTGAGATAGGTTCAACTGATTTCTGGTTCATTTGTTTTCTGAAACATTAACTCCTTACTGCACGGGGGAGGAGTTGAAATATTCTGTGCGGGATTTCGTTCTAGACATGATTGAAACACGACATGAAAATCTTTTTATTTTTTTCGAAAATTGATTCTGATCTTGTTATTGTACCATGTAAAAGCTTTTTGCTTTCAGAGAAAATAATACATTTCATTGCTGGAGAAGAGTTGTCAATTGTTTGTGAATCGCTACACTGGAAAATCCTTCCAAATTAGTTTAAAACATTTGGTCATCTTATTTAAATTAAATTTTCAGTGAATGTCCCTGCCATTCATTGAATGCATTCAAAGGAAGAATGCAGCAGTCAAGCGAAAACATTGTCAAAATAAGATTGCAAACTGAAAATGGCAAGAACATCTAACAAGAATCACCCTTCCTTCAGATTTAGTGTCATTTGAATGTAAAAATCAGTGTTGAAAAATATTTCTTGAGGATTGCGGAGGAATATTTTGAAGGCATATGAAGATTTCCCCAAAATTTCTCGCAAAAAATATATGAATAATACCCAATCTTGACGACATTTTCATACATCGTCCAAACCGTGGTTCGTTGCAGGTAATTATTCTTTATAGCAACATAAAAAAATGTGTAATTCGAGTGATAGCAACTGGATGATTCGGTTCTAAAATAAATAGTATAAAACAGACTCCAATAACGGGAGTTTAAAAGAATATAATCTACACTAAAACATAGCAACCAAATTTACAACGCATTGCAAACAAAAATATTTCATCGCGTGTATCTCTATATACTAGCATAAGTAATAAGTGCTGACCCAATTCTCGACAAAAAAAAAGATCA